GGTTCTCTCCCAACACTTTATTTCTCATTATTTTGACTCTTTATCATTGACAATCTTTGAACTCTTTCCGTCGGAGAGGCCGAGGGAAAATGTCACAGGTTAGCCAGCATGCAGTGGAGTGCAGCGTTGGGTTTAAAGAGCTCTTATGATGAAGTCTTCGCTGTCTGTGTAAAAGCCTTCAAAGTTTTCCAGCAGCACAGACACATTGAGTTTCCGCAGCAGACAGCAGTGAATTTACCGTACCTTTCCTACGGTTTGCCAAAGCGAGGAGTATTAAGGTCAAGAGCGAGCAGAGCGGAGGCTCGGAGTACACATTCATTAGAGAGACGTGTTCATTTGCCTGTGAGATAGTAATTGCCTCCTGCTCTCGCTTTCCATCTCTGTCCCTGTAATTGCTTCAAACCTGAATTTGACTGTTTCTTGTTGGTTTCCACCGAGCCACTTACACCGTGAAGGAAAGACAGCAATCCTGCTAGCTGTCTATTAGTCTTGTTTTTCTCTCAAGTGTACACAAGGTAATTCTGCGCTTTACTTAGCCGACAGAGGCTACTTGCTGCTCTTAGACTGGGAATTTGAATAAGCAGCCTCTTTTCCCCCCCCTCAGCCTGATTATGAAAATGTATTATGAAAATTTTAACCTCCTTGGTTTTATTCAGGTGCATTTCCAATTCAAAAGAAAGCAAACATCAAAAACAGGCCTGAAAAGAAGCTTAGCTAAATTGAATTGAAGAGCTTATGTGTGTTTCTTCAGCAGCGCACGAGAGATGAATTAATGCTGCTGGGATGTGAACGACTGCACACTACACAAATCAGCTACCGCTAGCTTTTTCTCAACAAATTTCACAATTTAATAATTGGCATTATTGTGCTCTTTTACATACAAGGACCATGTCTGTTAAGCTCCAGAAATGACCAAAAACGTTACAAAAGAGTTACAAATGCAATCCATTTGACTAATGTGAATTTATTTAGGTCTTTTGAAGCCATGTGATGAACAGACAAAAATTTAAATGGTTATTATTTGCAAATATTTCCCTCCTGGAAGAGATTTATTTAGTGGAGAAAACAAGACTTCCACTAAACATTTTGATTCTACATGGCAAGAATTGCTGTTTGTTTGAAAAGATGGTTCCTCTTATTAGGAAAAAATATAAAGCTATATAAAAATATATAACATTTATATATGAGAAAATATACTTTAAAATTATATTAATTAAAATTAATATTTATTTTACATTAATATTTATATTTAAGCATATATAACAACATAACATTTAACAAAATAGCATTCATATTTATATTAAAACTTACATTAATATATTAAGTATATCTTAAATATATTAAGATATATATAATTTTTACATATTGGAAAATATAAAGATTTTTTTTGTTGAAATGTACATAATATATAAATTATATTAAGATATATACAATTTTATATATATAAAAGTGTGTCCGAAGTATGACGGGCAGACAAATTAACAGGCTAAATAAGTTTTTGTTGTGCAAAAATATCACAGTCCTCAGAAGAAGAAGAAAAAATAGGATTATGCATGATAATTTGAGTGTTGCTCACAGCAGACGAGTCCAGTAGTAATTGTCTTGTTGTTGCAGACAGTTTATTGTTGAAGGCGGTGAAGTTATTCAAAAGCAGTGTTTTAAAGGGGCTGAGTTTAGAGATGCGTTCTTTGTAATCTTGCAAATGTTGCGTTGTACAAAGTCCTCTTCCACTTTGCTAAAATTCACCCACGCAGCACTTGTTTTTCGCGACATCCTCTGAGAGGGTTAGAGCCAGACCCACACAGAATCTGTGCCTGCAGACCTTCACAGAGAGAGCTGCACATTTCAGCAGATTTGCAAACGCCAATCATTTACAAAGTCAAAATGAGTCAGCTTTCATTGTCACTCTATCATGTTTGTTATATAATGTTATATTAGTAAATCTACTGTAATCTCGGCATTCTTATCATGTTGTCTTAAATATCAAAGCTTAAAGAAAAGCAAAAGCAAATATCTGGATAAAGTAAGTAGCATCTGCTGACTGTTGGCTGCTGTTGTTCTCCTGCAGAGGTGGACTGTGGTCACCCTGGATCTCCTCCTCATGCGGTGGTGATGGGGGATAAATTCACCTTCGGCTCTACGGTTCACTACAGGTGTTTGGAAGACCGAGCTTTGATTGGTGAATCCACCCGCACCTGCCAGCTGAACGGCCAATGGAGCGGCTCCCAGCCTCACTGCTCAGGTGAGTGTAGTGAAACTAACTATAATAATTGGCAGAATTATTTTATCCATCCGTCCATCTATCTATCTATCTATCTATCTATCTGTCTGTCTGTCTGTCCATCTATTTTTTTCATAATAAACAAACACATTACCAATATATTATTAATATATTATTATTATTCACTTAATATTTAAATATTATAAATATAATTGTTTGTTATTATAATTGGTATTATTATTATTGTTGTTGTTGTTGTTGTTGATTATGTTGATTTTGAAGTAACCACACTTTTCGCTCTTTAATAAGAGGTCATCACCTGAAAAAGAAGAGGCTTGTTTAAATACCTGAATATCTGAAACAGGATATGTGAAAAGATGGTATGTGTTCAGAAAAATACCAACAGGTTTATTAAGTATACTCACATTGTTGATCCAGGAAATGTAGCCAGACACACGGGTGAAGACGGAGGGCTTCTTGGGGTAGTTGCAGCCCAAGCTGGAGCCAAAACTCACAATACCGTGAACATCCCAGGTGCCGTCACTTCTCTGGCAGTTCAGAGGGCCACCAGAATCACCCTGTACAAGTGAGGTAACATCATTAGTGTACATTTAATAATAATATTTCTGTAATTATTTTTTATTGTTATTATTACTTATTTTGATTTAGTTTGCATTATTATTATTATTATTATTATTATTATAAATATATTATTATTTTTAATTTAATATTTAAATATAAATATAATTATTTAGATTATTATTATTTTGTTTGTGTTGCTGTTGGTATTATTATTATTATTATTATTATTATTATTATGCAGTGTTTAATGTTTAATTAGTATTGTTGTTTTTAGCAGATTGCTCATTTTACTGCTATTTCATGTAAGGAATCATTGACTCCCGACTCTGGATTATTCAATGCAGTTGTTCACTTTTCAATAGTTCGAAGGTTCACTGTCAGTTATTCTGCTCATACCAGGTTACCATATATTTAGACATTTTTTAAAGTTTTTGTTCCTAAAACTACTTTGTAGGAACATGTCTTGAAATAGCTGAAGCCATTGTTGCTACTTTGAAAGAGTCACTCAGACTTCCATTACTAACTCCAGCGTGTCATTTAGCACTAGTAATGGAGGTTTGACCTGTTTCTATGCAGTAGAGAGAGAGTGTGTGTGTGTGTTTGTGATTACTGTGGCTCTCAGCAGTGTTGTTCAGTAACTTCTCTACAAAAAGCAGCATTATTAGTTTAACTGCATTTCTCAGTGGCACACACTGGTAGCGTTGCTATTCTTGAAGATTTTATTGATTAAGTAGTGAGGCAGCGCTGACAACAAGGCTCTGTGTTTGTAGAAGTGAGATACAGAGAGTCTGCTTTCCGCAGATATAAAAAGCAATTTCAAAAAGAATTTGAAATTGTCATTTTATCCTGTTGTTTGTCATATTTACTAGCTTGGCCAGTGATGTTTGTTGTCTGGTTCTTTTGCTGCCTGAGGCGTTTTGAAATAACTAAAATAAATATAAAGATGCAATAAACCATGAAAGGCCATGCATTACGGTAATTTTATCACAGTTATGGAGGTTTTAGATGCTCTGATTCACGTTGTGCTTAAAAACAGCCCAAAAATTACTCTAAAGGCCTGTTCATAAAAAAATTATTCAGCTTTCTCTGTTTCATAAAAGCTTCTCCCTTTACCGTGGTAAAATTGCAGTAACACACGGCCCGTCATGGCTTATTGCTTTATTCAGATAATGCGTAAGTCCTTTGTATCTGCTTGTTCAGGCCTCGACTCGTCTTTGAAAGAGAAATCATACATTTGAATGAGCACATTGTTGAGTGAAGCTCATCTTTGTCTTGGTTCTTATTTCCTGTCATTATGTGTCAGTCTGACATGAGTTAATTAAGTTCAGCTGAATAATGACTTCTGTCTCTGCGTGACACACTACACCGTTTCTTCTTACTGACAAGCTGTCTGTTTGATTCCAGCTAACATGCACAAATTTTTCTTCTTTAAGAAAATAGTTCACGCACAAATGGAACACTCATTATTACTTACACTCATATTGTGCCAAATATGAGACTTTTTCTGTACAGTTCATATTCATATCTTGAACAAGAACAAAAATAAACAGTTAAAGCCCCATAAAAGCAGTCCAGACGACTATATTTCAGGTCTTCTGAGGTCATAGAGTGCATTTTCACCTGAAAAGATTAAATATGCACAAATGAGATTCAAGCACTGCAGAGGGAAAATAATCAGTGAATAACATTTTAATTTTAGCCTGTTCCTCAAATAAAGCTGTCGTATGACTTCAGAAGACCTCAAATATAGTGAATGCATTCAAATGGACTACTTTTTGGGGCTTTTTAAATCCCATTTGAAGCTTAAATTATACAAAATATATATATATATATATTAAATTGATCAAAGGTGACAGAAAAGACATTTATAATGTTACAAAAGATTTCCATTTAAAAATAAATGCTGTTCTTTTGAACCTTCTGTTCACCAAAGAATACATTAAAAAAAAAAAATTTTTTTTTAAAGTATTACGGTTTCCACAAAAATTTTAAGCAGCAGAAAACTGTTTTAAGCGTGAATAATAATAACAAATGTTTCTTGAGTAGTAAATCAACATAGTAGAATGATTTCTGAAGGATCGTGTGATCTGAAGACTGGGGTAATTCCTGCATCACAGGAATAAATTACATTTTAAAATGTATTCAAATAGAAAACAGCTATTTTGAATTGTAATAGTATTTCACAACATTACTGTTTTTACTGTGTTTTTAATTAAATAAATGCAACCTCAGTGAGTATAGGAGACTGCAATCAGCCAAACATCCACAGAACATGAAAAATTATGTATTTACACTTTTTAAAAGCCTCTAAGAATCACACAATCGTGTCCGTGTGCATCTGTATGCAGCGCTGCATGCACTGACCCAAAAACAGCATGAGCTGGGAGTTTCCACTATTTCTTTCATTCGTTCTCCTTTTTTCTCAATCCTTCCTCCTATGTCTGCTTTTTGTCGGTTTGACTGTTCAGAATGGAGTACTAGCACACTACTGAATACTGCATGGTATGCTCTATACTGCCTTTCACATACTGTTTTGTTTTTGTAAACCGTATGTGAAAGAGAATGTGTTATAAGATGATATATATTTTAAACAGTAGTTATGCTGCTGTATGCTGTCATCAAATGAGCCCACGTTGTATATAGTCAACATAGTGGACATAAATATTATTTATAATTTGCATTTTTATTATAATTTGGAATTCATCTGATCTCTGCTAATTGCAGTCATTTAAATCATACTGTACAGCATGTTAAGTTTGTGTTTTTGCTAAGGGATTTTAGGAGAAACATCAGAGACGAAGTTGATACCTAAATGAAGCATATCTCAAATCCTACGGAGCATTGAAAGAGCAACCTCTGAGAAATAACACTTTCCTCAGGGCTCTCTGTGTCTTTCTAGCATTACTTCTTTATTCTGTGTGAACATGCTCGGCGCTTCTCGGGAGGTTTGATGTTGAGACTGTGTTCTGGATTTCTGGGACATTCGTCAGGAATCTAGCATCTCGATTGCTGGAAATTTTAGGAGGCGTACGCCACTGTAGGTTTACGAAAGTTAGCCAGTTGCATCTTGGCTTCATTTTAAAAGCATTTTCAGCTGCATGTTTTTGTTTAAGATAAGAAAACCCCACGTCCCCTGGAGCGCCTGCTTTCATGGGAGTTTTTGAATCATTTAATTCCTCTGAAAGCAACTAAAACAAAACTCCCATATTTTTGGCATAAAATTAATATTATTGAGAAACAATTTATTGAGTAAAATGTATATATTTATTTTTAGAAATGTTAAGAGATTTGTAGACAGAAATACTAAACTTGTGCTCACCAAGCCAAGACAAAAATCCTTTTTTTTTTTTTTTTTCGGGAAAAAAAAGTATTTTATGCTCACCAAGCCTGCATTTATTTGATCAAAAATACAGTAATGTTGTGAAATAGTAACCATTACATTTTTTTTTTTTTTTAATTGTAAAATCATTTTACAATAGCTGTTTTCTTTTTTTAATATATTTAAAAATGTAATATTCATTATATTATTTATAATTTAATATATTTTAAGGTATTTCCACCTCCATAACTCCAGTGCAATAGGGTATATAATATTGTATGTGTGCATTTAATTAATTTAGTCTTAATTATAGTAATACCATTTTTTTGGCTTTCCACTAAAAATATAAAATGGCTTCATTTTAAAGCATTTCCAGCTGCATGTTTTTGTTTCAGATAAGAAAACTCCACATCCCCTGCAGTGCCTGCTTTCTTTCGTGGGAGTTTTAGTTGTTTTTGCCTCACATTATTTGGCAAAATGAATTTCACTAAAGACTAAAAGCCACTACTACGTGATAAAATATGGATGGCAAACAAAATCAATAGCGTTCTGCACTGCCAGGTGAATCAGAGTTCCTTACGTAACGAACTTCGCAGCCTTATTATACCCCGCTAAGCTACTGGTGGGTGTCCTTTAACACAAATTCACATCTCACTTCTGCGCCAATTAATGGAAACTAGAACCGTTTCATAGTATTCAACAGCTTCACCTTTGTAGAAGAATCTAATGAAGGTTACATAAGCACACACACAGCTCTTACATTGTCCATCAACAGATCCGTGGCTTTGTGGCTTTTCACGGCCGCTTGAGGTGGGACCGATCTTTTCGGAGACCTGTCTGTTCGTAACTCGCCAAGAAAGGCAGGACGTCAGAGCGATTGAGGTTAATGAGGAAGAAAAGTCAAGCCTTTCTCCATCGTTGACACCTTCTTTTTTTATCGGGGTTGGATATTTGAACAAACGGCCTTGAAATAGGGTCTCTTTCTCTCTCTCTCTCTGCATGTGTCGTACAATCCGCCCCTCATTTTCTGTGCCGCAGAGTAGAAAAGAAATGTCCCAGATTTCTAATGAACTAAAGAGAAAGTATTTGACTGGAAAAACACTGTGCTGTCATGGAGCGCTGCTGTTTTTCTGTTTATTTATGTACAGAGGGCCGGTTAAGCAGCAGTGCGGTGGAATCGGAGGACGCTTGCCCTACGGCTGGTTTTAATCATTGGTTAGTCGTTCCCTCGGGTTCGCAGGCCGTTTGCTGAGTCTGGGCTTTCTGATTGGCCTCGGGGTGCTGGTACGCGTAATTAAAAAGGATTTGATTTTCGGGTCATCGGCTGACTCGAACAGGGCTCGGTGTTCAGAGTGTCTGCGACGTGTGCCGTCCGGCTCTGTTCAATGAATATTTTACCATAATTATTTATGCTAATGGCTTCTGCTGGCAGCCGCTAGATGATAATTGATAGCCTGTTGCATATCACACTGTCATTTGGAAAGGTGTCGCATCTCTCACGCGCCTGCAAATTCGTCTTCTCGCCAGTAACAACATATAAATGTGTCTAATTGTTTCTCTTGAGAATTTCGCCTGGTTTTTGGACTTCAAAATGGCAATATGTGTTTTCATGTGTCTTTTAAAGGAATAGTTCATAAATCAGTGGAAATTTTCTCACCCTCGTGTTGTTCCAAACCTGTATGTGAGTTTCTTTCTTGTTTGAAACACAAAAGGAGACGTTAAACTACTGACTGGGCTGTCATGCTCAAAAAAAGGACAAAAAGCACCTTTATATTTGTTACTCGTTTAAAAGTCTTCTGAAGTCATACAATAGATTTGAATGTACAGAAATGAGATTTCTGTGTGAATATATTTTTATTGGAAAATAATATATGAAGAGTTCATTTGCAAAAAACGATAATTTTAATTTACAAAATTAAAGTTCATTGAAAGTATGTTTTTTTACATATTTAGCCTATATATATATACTATCATTCAAAAGTTTTTTTAATGTTTTTGAAAGAAGTTAAATACAGTAAAAGCAGTAATATTGTGCAAATTTAAAAAAAAAATGTTTTCTATTGTAGTATATTTTAAAATGTAATTTATTCCTGAGATGCAAAGCTGAGGGGCCGTTTACACGACAACGTTTTCAGACAAAAACAGGAAACTTTTTATGCGTTTTGACTGTTCATTTACACGACAATGGCGTTTTGGGGACTGAAAACGCATATTTTTGAAAACGGGTTTCAAAGTGCAAGTTTTTGAAAACGGCACCGTTATCGTTTCCATGTAAACACCCAATACGGGAATCTTTGAAAACGGTGCCGTCATGCGCGTGCATAGTACGTGTTAGGAATGTAGACATGCGCAGTACGTGTCGATTTTAAAGGCAAGCGCGAACAAACATACACAACAATGGCAGAGTATATGGTACTGTTGTTGCTGCTCAAGAGTTTGCTAACGCTTCTTCAGCAAAGTGTGGATTTACTTCACCAATATTACAACCAACAGCAGAGACGCATCATGTACAACATATAATCGTCACTTCCCTACAGGTACTGTTTACTAACAAGGTGACAGCGCCAACTACTGGCCTGGCATACGTAATACAGCGTTTTTGGACGTTTTCGCAGATATGTGTAAACGCGAATCGTTTTGAAAACGTTGTCGTGTATACGTGAAACTTTTTAAAAATTCAAAGGAAAAACTTTTCCATTCTTGACTTCACAGTTGTCGTGTAAACGTAGCCTGAATTTTCAGTATCATTACTCCAGTCTTCAGTGTCACATGATCCTTCAGAAATCATTCTTATATGCGGATTTGCTGCTCGAGAAACATTAATTATCACGTATTATCGATGTTGAAAACTTGTTGTTCTGTATAATATTTTGTGGAATTATAAATCTTTCATATCATGAAAAAGTCTTCACCATCACTTCAGATCAACATGTCCTAAAACAAGATAAATTTACTTTATTAATAGATTTGAATGTACAGAAATGAGATTTTAGAGCTAAATTTTAGTCTGTTTGTCACACAAATATCTTCGGAAGACTTGAAATCGAAGACATTTTTTAGCTCAACAACATCTGTTCACATTTATGAAGAATTGGAGCAGTATGAACATTCTTTAAAACATCTTTTCTGTTGTTCATGGAAGAAATTAAGCCATGCGAGTTAGGAAAGAAGTGAGAGTGCAGTAAAAAAGTACAAATATATTTATTTTTTGCTGAGCTACTCATTATTTATGCATTCAGCGGACGCTTTTATCCAAAGTGACTTACAATAGAGGAACATAAGCATTTCGTCACAGAGCCAGCAATATTTATAGTATACAGGTTTATTAGAAAGCTAGGAAACAAGCTAGAGCAGAGGTGAAATGCAAGAGGAAGTGGAAGATTTTCCAGTAATAAAAAGCTGTTGTCATTGTTTTTGCTTTTCTATTGGCTGTCATAGTTCATATCGCTACCTAATCGTACAAGGCAGGTGAGCAAAAAGATTGTGCAAGCTCAATCAAATAGTATTTTCATGCACAAATAGTTCCTCTCTTCAAATCTCCTGAAACAGCATGGTGAGTGACAGCTCAGAGGACAGGGGAAGCGTTCCTTTGAGATCCGAAACTGCTCTTTATTCAAGCTGTGGCAGTTCGGCACGCTGAAAAACTCCTCTGTGGCCAAATGAAGCTCTCAACTGATCCAAAGGCAGCGCTGGTTCCGCTTATATTTAAAATGTCGCCAATAAATCACTGAGCAGGTCTGTTTTGCTGTCAAGTGCTCACATCTATGATCAAATTTGAGTTTAGAGTTTGAGTTTCGAAGGATGAGAAAAGGGTTGTAGGGTGTATTTTACACTACAAATGACTGTCTAGATTTCATGTGGACGTTTTGACATGGCTGGTGAGAATAGTCACATGACCCGAAACCTATTTTTAGTGGGCAAAAGACAAAAAATATACTGTTTTTTGTTTAGTTTTTTTGTTTTGTTTTGTTTTTCGTTTTACATTTTCGAACCTTTGCCTACGTTTATTAGATCAAAAATAAAGTAAAACTGTAATATTGTGAAATAATAATGATTAAATATTGACTTTTTTTTTTATGTAAAAATATGTATTATAATATTTATAGTTTTATTTAGTTTTATTTAGTTTTATTATATTTTAAAGGTGACATATCATGAAAATCTGACTTTTCCAGGTTTTAAGTGCTATAATCAGGTCCCCGGTGCATCTACCAACCAAGGAAACGTGAAAAAGATTAACCCAGTAACTTTGTTTTGGGAAGCCTTTTTCTGCAAGCGTCTGAGAAAACGAGCGCATCTGATTTTGCTCCCTTGGTTACGTGGCAAAGGGATCTCATCCCTTAGTTTACACCCACGGTGCCATTATTGTGTTTTCGCAAGCGACAACGGTGTACCAGTTCTAATACCATGGTGAAAGTTTGAGCAAAACATGCTAACTGTTCTGTCTTTGGCTGCACAGACGAGCACAGAACACTGTTTAGAGTCCCAGCCTCAGAGACAACAGAGCAGTGCATTTATTGATTATAATAATAAATTATCTGTGGAGTATTTCTTGCTGAAACTTCACAGACACATTCTGGGGACACCAGAGACTTATATTGCATATTATAAAAAGGGGCTTAATAGGTCTCCTTTAAGAATTTTCAGCATCATTACTCCAGTCTTCAGTGTCACATAAGCCTTCAGAAATCATTCTGATATGCTGAATTATTATTATCAATGTTGAAAACAGTAGTGCTGCTTCATTTCTTTGTTTTTGTTTTCTTTGTTTTCAGCATTTATCGGAAGCTCTTGTATTGATGTCTGAAAGTCTTTACTGTCACTTTTGATCAGTTTAATGTGTCCTTTCTGAATAAAAGAAGTAATTTCCTTAAAAAACAGTATAATAATTATATTTTTGTCCTATCCACTAAAACATCCCTAAAAACAAGATAAATGTACTTTCTAGCAAAACTTTGTAATATATTAAGCCTTGTTTTCAGAGAAAATATTTTCAATTGGTTATTTTTTGAATCCGTTGGCAAATGCATAATTAATGCATAAATAACTTGCAAAATACAAAAAAAACAGTGAGGTTTATGAAACAAGAAAAAAAAACTGTTTGCCATTTGGAAATAATTATTTCAACTCAAATCAATATTTCATATCTATCTATTTATTTATTTAGCAAGTGTCGCCATCTAATAAGCAAGATAGTGTATAGTCAGCTGGCTGTTATGGCGAAATGGACCCCTTCAGGGTAATACAAGACCCCTCAGCTTTGAGTTTATGTTGTAATAATGGCTGACTAACTGTACGTTATGTCTTACATATTGCCCAAGTCTGCAGTTTCAGTATCCCATGGGTTGCACATACTTCCAGGAACTTACTTTTGTTTTTTGTTTTTTTCGAGAAGAAGAAACATGCAGTTTGTTTCTATCCAAGTAGAAAACTACATGTGCTCGCTCAGCTGGAAAAATGAGAATGAAGCTTTGAGTTTATGTTGTAATAATGGCTGACTAACTGTACGTTATGTCTTACATATTGCCCAAGTCTGCAGTTTCAGTATCCCATGGGTTGCACATACTTCCAGGAACTAAACATGCAGTTTGTTTCTATCCAAGTAGAAAACTACATGTGCTCGCTCAGCTGGAAAAATGAGAATGAAGTATGCAGAATGGTATCTAGAATATAGTATCTAGAATATATGTGCACTTGTCTCCGCAGGTGATAAAAGGGGCGCCTGCGGGGATCCGGGCACGCCGGCCCATGCCACCCGAGAGGAGGGCAGCTTTCAGCAGCACGCCAAAGTGCGCTTCACTTGCGCCACGGGTCACACGCTCTACGGCTCGGCAGAACGGATCTGCTTCCCCAACGGCACTTGGTCGGGCCGTCAGCCCACCTGCAAACGTAAGTAACTCCTTTAGATGCCATGAATAATGCATGCGCACAGCGAGGAGCGGCACGAGTACACACCGGGACACTGATATGCATCAAACGAGAAGTCTTTTCTCTCGTCGAACATATGAGCCGGCGTCACGGCATTCATGCGTTCTGTAATTCACGCAGAAGACGACCTTGCACCGGAGGCTTTTAAGGAAAGTGTTTTTTCTGCTGCTTTTGCAGCTCTTTTAGTCTGACGCATTGTCCGTGTCATCTCGAGGGTGACAGGTTATTGCGGTCCAGCGCCATGCAGGGCTATAAAACAGATTTACAGATTGTTAGCGCGCAGGTCCCAGGAGGCGGAAATTTCTCAAGCTTGAATGTTTTTGCTACGCAGCTCTGGTCTAACAGCTTGTCTTGCATTAAATCCCATCATGCCCCCCTGTGCTTTTCCAGGCCGAACAAACAGCAACATCTCCTGCGATTTAACCCCACTCAACCCGTGCGTGAGGGGAGAAATCTGAAAGAAGTCTATTACCTTTGCAAAAATATCCCAGTAAAACATATCAGGCTCTTCAAAATCAATCCAAATGAATACAGAATAATCAAGTTGTGCTTAATAAAGTACTATTAGAGAATTAGTTTTTGGTAACACTTTAGTTTAAGAACCAATTCTCACTGTTAACTAGTTGCTTATTAGCATGCATATTACTAGCATATATTGGCTGTTTATTAGTGCTTATAAAGCACATATTAATGCCTCATTCTGCATGACCATATTTTAGATCCCTTGATCCTACAACATACCTAAATTTAACAAGTACCTTACTAACTATTAAAAAGCAAATTAGGAGTGTATTGAGGCAAAAGCCGTAGTTAATAGTTAGTTAATATTTGAGAATTGGTCCTCAAACTAAAGTGTGATTTTATTTTATTTTTTATTTTAGTTTGTTTTAGTAATTTTATGTGCTTTTGTGGGGTTTTATATTTCTGTTTAGCCTCATTTTTTATTTCAGTTTTAGCAATGGTACTATAATTTTCTTTGAGGTTTTTCATCTAATATTAATAATTAATTTAATTTCAACGTTATTTCACTTAACATACATTATTATTTGTAATAGTTTTAGTTGTTGTTAACAATAACAACACTACACACCGAAGCAAATTCTATGAAGGTTTAAAAAAAAAAAAAAAAAAGTATATTATACTTATTTATTTATTATTCATACAGTATATTATTGTACTGTTTATTAATATTTTGAATTAGCTTTTATTTTTATATTTTTAATTTTATTTGTAATTTAATTTAATTTTATTATTATTTTTTTGTTTTGTTTTAATAATGCTATTATGTGCTGTTGTTACTATTATTACTTTTATATTTTATTGTTTTAATTTCTTTTTATTTCAGTTTTAGTAATTTTAGTAGTTTGACCTTAACTAATTTCATTTAGCTTTCATGGCAACATTTCTCATTTCCATTCAAATTTTTCATCTAATATTTATATTTAATTTTTTTTCCAATTTTATTTCAATTAACAAAAATATTTTTTCTAATGGTTATAGTTAACAATAACCGAAGCAAATGTTCAGAAAGTCTGCTATGCCATTGTATGCAAATACACTGGAAAATAAATCACTCAGAAATCGCTAGTAACGGCAATTTCTTGTCAGATGTGTTCCAATAATATTTATTTGCAACTTCGAAAAATAATTTTTTACAGCATACCTCCTGTAATCACAAGCATATTCATTTTTCGAAAGCTATCATGTTCATAAATTCCTGCATGAAGGGAATGACCGATCTGGACGTGTGCTTTTCTGCTAATCGGATTCTTTTTCGTCCAATAGCTGTTCAGTGCGGGAATCCTGGGACTCCGGCTAATGGGCGCATTTTGCGTGTTCATGGCACCACCTTCTCTCACTCCATCGTCTACTCGTGTGTGGATGGATACCGGCTCTCGGGTTCTCCCTCCCGTCAGTGCCTGGCGAACGGTACCTGGTCTGGCAGCGAGCCCAACTGCACCCGTACGTACCCAAGCTGTTGTCTTACATCCTGGAAAAACTCAAACATGTTGGCAGTGTTCAAGCCTTCCTTCATCTGTTTTGTTTTTCCCCCCAACTGCGTTTCTCAATAAATGTTGGCATTCGAACAGCAAAGACTTTCCGTAATAACGAGACGCCCATTTGTAATTAGCCCAACCATCTTATCATGCGGTTGTTGTTGCTCAGATGTGGACCCTGTTCTCATTAATGGAGCCAGATTTATTACTGCCGCTGTCTAAGTAATAGTAGGATGAGATGACAGGCAGAATCAATCTCAAGCTGACGTATAATGCGAGATTGATGTCGGGGTAGTGGGAGAATAATGAGCAGGGGAGTGCTGCAGGACTGCGGTGAATTTCACATCACATTACTCAACGCTCTGATGAGATGCTCTTTGTTGATGTGACAAGATAAACTGTGGATGTTAAAGGTGAAGTCATTTCAGAATGGCACAAATGATGAATGTAATTAAACACTCCCCCCATCTGGCATTGATTAGTCAAATAGGAAGTCTCGCCCCAAATGCACTGCGCTTGCATGCATTTTAAAACTCGCAATAATTTGTCTTTTTAAAATGTCCTGTAAGCATTGACTTCATACCAGTACTGTTAATGCAAATTCAGGCTAACAAGACAGATAATCCGGCGTGACTGTTATTATTCATGTTATTTTTAATATCTTATATGGGAGTTCTTATATGGTTGCTAGACTGTTCTAGGTGGTTTCCATGTAGTTGCTTGCCAGGGCTGGAAAGATTAAGGGCTGGAATACTTACAAATTGTAGCCCATTAATGATTTCAAATTACATGACGAAAATCTAATCCGTTACGTTACATATTTTTATATATTGTAATCTGATTACTTTTAGATTACTTTTGACCTAACTTGATAGTCACGTTGATTTGAATAGAATAATCTTGTACCGTATTGATATAAAACAAAAACAAAGAATATTTATTTATTTAGCTATTCTGCTACCAACAATGTGCAGTGCATTAAATATTACATTGTCATTACATTATGAAATAGAATATACTTTTTCAGTTTCCTGAGCGGTTTGTGAAGGAACTGCAGGCGGTTTGCAAGTTGATAATGCCAATTGATTAAATCATGAAAATGTAAAATTATAAAATACATTTCTGAAAGCAGTAATAATTTTTTAAATCATATAAAATGAATGATTTATAAATAATTTACTGCCATTGTGTGAATACGTAATCATGAAATCAATCATCTGGTTATGAGCATTGTAAATTGATATGGATACACTAATGTTTAAATGTTTGGGGTCGGTATGATTTTTAAAATGGTTTCTAAGAAGTGTTATTATTAGAACGGTGTCATATTTGATCAGAAATACAGCAAAAACAGTAATATTGTGAGATATTGTTACAATTCAAAATAACAGTTTGAATATATTTTAAAATGCAATTTATTATTTAATGCAAAGTTGAATTTTCAGCAGTCTTCAGTGTCACACGATCCTTCAGAAATTATTTCTTGTTTATATTTATTGACACATTAAAATGTAAATTAATTGTATTTCTCATATATCATTTCTTATTATTATCAATGTTGAAAACAGGTGTGCTGCTTAATATTTTTGTGGAAATCATGATTCATTTATTTCAAGATTATTTGATGAATGGAAAGTTTTTTAAAAAATGATTTGAAATGGAAATCTTTTGTAACATTATTAATGTCTTTACTGTCAATTCTGATCAATTTAATGCATCCTTGGTGCATAAAAGTATTAATTTCTTAATATATAATATTAATAATAATTAATTAATTAATAATATTAACTTCCTCACCCCAAATCATGAAGGCGAGTTACATGCTGAGGTTTAATCTTTAATAAAAGTATTAGTAATAGTCAGACATTCTTGCTTTAGCAAACACCTCTAATAAATATATAACCTATAAAATGATTGTTTACTAGCGAATATTATTGCAATGATAGTATTATTATGAATCATTTTATTAGGAATGCAATAAGGGGCTTGATGCTGCTCATATAATGCTTTGACAGTCTAAGTGTTGTTGAACTGAAGATGTTGTTCTGCACGATGACAAAATGTGCCATTTTTCAGCTGTAGTGTCTAACCCGAGGCTTGACCATTATACTCTCAGTGTGACAGGCAGAACTGTAACAGAAGCATCCAGAATAATTGTTTGTTTAGTTTTAGTTCCCTGGGAGACAGTCTTGAATCCATAACCAGTTTAATGATGCTGTGTGTTTAGACTCTTCATGTACGCTCACACAAATAATGGTTGTTCTTCTGCTCTAATAGTGATCAGCTGTGGGGATCCGGGCGTAGCTGCCAGCGGCCTGAGGATCGGCGAGGACTTCACCATCGGCCGGAACGTGACTTATTCCTGCCAGCCCGGCTACCTGATGGAGAACGGGAGCTTCGTTATCCGCACCTGCACCCACAATGGCACCTGGAGTGGAACGTTTCCCACCTGCCAAGGTACAGAGTTGGAAGGCCTTTCTTTTTCTCGAATTACGATACTGAGACTTTTTGGTGGTTTGCCGAGGCATTGAGGGCCACAAACAAACAGATGTTGCTCTGTAGTTTCCAAGGCTTCTTGGATTGTAAACGGGCCATTGTTTCTGAAGGAAAGCATCAGAGAGTAAGGGTTAACCGCGACTTTTTCTCACACGTCAGAGAGAGAGGAGATTCATGAATATTTGACAGTGCTTCTCTCTGAGCGGCCTCTTGCAGGACTTCCCGTATCCTTCGATTACTGAGACGATCTAAACTGGTGATAACCAGGACTGAGCACATGGCCTCTGTGCTCAGGTAGACGACAAATGAAAAGGACGTGAATATTTTTCAATATCAGGATTTTAGGTTAAGATTGATCAGTAAATGCATCTTAGGTACTATAACAATTTCTTTGATTTTAACACTTTTTTTCATGACTTTCCAAACCTTTTTGTATTTTTTTTCCCCCCAAGAACACAATATTGTGGATAGCAAAAATTATTACAATTTATTTTAATTCATATAAAATAAATATATAAATAATTCATCATTGTTATTAAAAACCATTAAAATAATAAATGATCAAAACACCAAACAAATTCATAACTGCCTATTGTATTTAATTTTAGCATTATTTCGTGTTCATTTTTTATATTTTTTATAATTATCCTTGGATTGATTTTTCATTTAAGACTGGTTTGTTTCATTTGCAGAGTTGCGGTTGTTTTTTAGGTTCAATTTCTTCTAGTTAGTGCATATTTGTTATTGCACAAAAGTGAATAATAATAATAATAATAATTATTATTATTTATTTATTTATTTTAAATGATTTTATATTTTTCCATGCAGTATTTATTAGAATTAAAACCATTTAGTTATCAATTTATTTTAAAATGAATGCTGCGATTTTAAATGTCCACTAATTAACCATTTTTCATTATATACATAATATTATTTTTATTACTTCTTTATTATTACAACAACAGCAACTTTATTTATTTAGGCAAAATCATATAGAGATTGTCAATGGAATAAATTAGTGCATCGCCTTAAAAAAAATAAGTTTCTTAATTGATTTTTTTGTCTCAAAATTTTCAAGGACCCCTAACCCCCTTCTTAGCAGTCACCTCAGGGTCCCTTTTATTGGATATTTAGTTGTTTATTAGGTATTCCGCTATTGTGACACATGCAATGTGAAATATGTAGAATCATTACCAACTGTTCTCCCCTATTAAATAATGCTACTGTGTCATTTTAATACCTTTGTGTATTTCCAAGGTCTTTCCATCACTAGAAGCCTTCCGCAGTATTCAGCATTGATTCAGTCTTGGCTTTGCGATCAGCGTCATTTCTGTCTGTGGCCAGAATATTGTGGCCAATATCAGATTTTCTTTGGCAGCCCACATGCTCACATCCGTTTACAAATCACTAAGAGGAAACTTTCCTTCCTCCGGCGTTCTCATTAGCGCTAAAACACTATTGACAGTTGTTGCTTGGAAAAGTTGATATTTTTTTAAGACTTCACCATCCTCATTATAACATTAGTCCTTGATGGATATAAGCATAAATATCTAGAATCCATCTCATTTAGACCTGTTTTTCCACACTCAATACCTTCCTGTTATATAAAGAAATCTGCATTGCGTACTGTACATAAAAATGGTGGCCATTAAAATTCTGAGAACAAACACAGAGAGCAAATTGCTCAGTGAGATCCTGCAGAGAAACATCAATGTAGCGTCCTAATAGGCCGTAATGCGAAGTCATTAGAAAGCCATTTCTTGGGCCCGGCGTCGATGGATTGTAGCCCGTGAGTGATTTGTGGCGGGACAGACCCTCAGGCACGCCTCCCGTCAGTCGGCGGTGAAGTCTGCCGCGAGGCATTTGTGTCCGAGGGCTCATCTCGCTCTCAGTTTCTCCTTCATTGCTCTTGGTTTCAGTGCAGCTGAAGACTGTCAGTGACCTATCTGAGATTAGCATGCAAGTCCGTCACACATATGGGAGTATCAAGGAATTAAAAAAATGTGACTTCCAGGCCTGGAAAAGTCTTCAAAATTTCTGTGGGGAATATAAATATGTCCAGTTGCTCTGCAGGGCCTTTGCTTAAATTCAAAGCCCGGGACAAATTGTTCCCTTGGGTCTGATGCTTAGAGAAATGCTTTGGGATCAAGGCTATTATTGTTAACTAAAAGTATTAACTTAACTATTAACTTTGTTAATTGAAATAAAGCTGAAATAAAATGTAGAAATATGAAATATAAATATGAGATGGAAAAACTATTAAATATTGCATTGCAAATTCAAAAATTGTGGATATTTAAACTAGAAAATAAGATAAAATTGCTCATTAAGAGAAGGATTTTGCAGTATAAAACAGCGCACTGGCAGATTGTTTCCACTTGTTTTTAATTTGTTTATACTTGAAAGAAGTCAAAATACGCTTGTATTGAAGCTACAGCACATTCTATAAAAAAAAGTTATGTCTTGACTGGAAGTCGAAAAGACTAATTAAAAACTCATTAAAAGTAATTTTTTTTGCTGTTACCATCACAAGACTGTCCACATTAGACTAGTATGGTAGAATTGATCAGTAACCTTGTCTACATAAGGTTACATCCAATCTTGCACCTGTTATCATGGTGTAATGCAGATAAAGTGCACAATGTTTGTACAAATATATCAAGAAGAGAGATGACGTAACCCCCTTGTTTTCATGAAGGTGAACAGATGTGCTAAACCATTGTCTTGAAATTCCAATCATAAACTTGTCTCCGCTCTGTTAGTATTATCGTATGTCTGCATACATTCTGATGTTGAAAACCAGCTGGAAATTCTACTCAGCCACCAGAAGCTGCCATGATTACTTCCATTGTAAGTGTGTAACTCTAAACATGCTCTTAAATAGATAAATAACTAAATAATCAAAATTTTTCATAATAGTCTGTAGTGCTGTCAAACGATTAATCGTGATTAATCGCATCCAAAATAAAAGTTTTTGTTTACTTAATATATGTGTGTACTGTGTATATTTATTATGTATAGGCCTATATAAATACGCATACAGTATATATTTAGAAAATATTTATATGTATTTACATGTATATATTTATATTCATATAATTGTTGTTGTTTTATAAAAAATATTTAATATATAAACATAACATATTTTCCTTAAATATGTACATGCATGTGTGTGTATTTATATATATACTTAATAAATATACACAGTACACACACAGATATTATGTAAACAAAAACTTTTATTTTGGATGCGATTAATCGCGATTAATCGTTTGACAGCCCTTTTTATTTATTTT